TGTGACAAACTAGCACACAGTCCACCTGATGGTAAATGATGTGGCCCATAGACATCTACATCTATCCTCGATTACAAATCAAAATGTAGATGCGTTGTCACCCGTGAGGACTAAGATGGAATGCCTCATTTCCAGTAAAAAAGACCTCCAGCCACCTGCACTCACCAAGCGAAACGCAGAGGTAAACCTCTACTTCACGCTGGTATTCTGTGAGGTCGTGGTACCACCCCGGTTCAAGCCGACCCATCCGTGCGACAGCAAAAGCTGCCGCGTGGCTCTACCACTGTTAAAAATTACTCGTAGAAATTGTTTAAATAGTTAAATTAAAAACTTAAAGCCCACCTCTAAGAGTGGAGAAATAGGGGTTTTTTTACACTTCTGAGAGGAAAAATTTCTTTGCCAGTTATATGAGACCACTCCTGAAATACAACCGATTTAATAAAAAATAATCATTAAAATCCGTTCAGGATTGACGAAAATGTCCCAAACGAAAAAACAAAAAGAAAAAACATAAAATCGCATCAAAACTTTACAAAACCGCATGTTTATCTTTGTTAAATTGATAAATCTCTCATAAATTAATCAAGCGACAGTACATAGCCTAAAGGTAGGTTGCAGAGCGCGAATTCAAAAGGTCGTGGGTTCGAATCCGCTATTCGACTACTGTCGTGAACCACTCCTACCACAAGCATTTTAAGTTTAGTTTAAGGGAATTTTAGTAATGTTACTAAAATTTATGTTATGTTAATAAAATTATAGTATTAAAAAAATCAAAACTGATCGAAGCAGTGCATTTGATGCGAGTTATTAGTTAATGATATGCGCAAAAACCACTTTGTATTGGCTTATAAAAGAAATCATTTTTAACACACTATTGGCTAAATACTCAAACTTTGACTTAAAGTGACTGAGACAGCACAATACTTAATAGCATCTTAAAATTGAGCACCGTTTGAGTATATGGGCATATGTATTACATTTACATTTTATATAATTATTGCTTTAAGCCCTTTCAGAAATGAAGTACGTCTATGCTGGGCAGGTCAATATCCAGCAGTGAAACGTATAGAATAAGCTGTAGTTTCACTATATTGCTTAAACATAAATACATACTTATTTTATATCAAAAACTATAGACTGATTTTACCGATACTGTCATATCTTCATGTGTCTGAAACTGTAATTAGAATCCGTTCATAGCCACAGGCGAGCCCTTACAATCGTTAGAAAGCATGCATATAACTGCTGTGCGGTAGTCACAACACATCACATGTCATGTTCTGAACGGTATGAAAGCTGTACGCTTTGACATTACGTTCGCATATAGGGTTGTATATTATGCTTATATCGATATAAATAAACATTATAGAGTATGCACCTTCAAGTATCTTCATATTAACGAGCACTTATAAGAAATATTGAGGTACAAAGACTATCAAAAGGTTAACGTTAATAAAATATTTAGAGATTAGCTATTTAATTTTGTATCAGATAAACTTATCTGAAATTCTATTGGGGAAAATCTATTCGTTTTAGTTTGAAATATTATCCTAAAAACGTTAAAAAAGTTAATATCTGAAAAAATAAAGTTTATTAATTACAGTAATAAGACTTTTTTTAATTTTCATATATAATTCATTTTAAAATTTCAAATAGGATCAGCCTAGGATCACACTGATCCCCATGGTAACAATTCCAATGAGAAAATAATTTAAATTTAGAATTTTCTATATTCTTCGGTAAACTGGCGAGGTATATTAATTTCATTGGTCATTACTCATTACCCATACAAATTGGAAGTATATTGAAGTGTTTGTAAAGCGAGTTGAGTTTTGGAAAACCTTTCGACAAAAGAACTTTCCTACACCACTACAACACTAGCGTAGCGTATGACTATATACGAGTATATAATAAACGAATAACAAGCTCGTGTTGAGTTCGTTATTGTTCTCATTGTCAGTAATTAAATAACAATTTCACGTAGCGTTTTTAAAAACGCCACAATACCTAACTCCAACAAGTTTCTGCAAGGTGAAATATGTATGTATTAAAAATATATACTAAAAATCAGGAACGCATTTGATTTCACAAAAAGAAAATATCGATAAAAAAACTCTTACTATTTTATCTCTGACATACTCAACACTGCCATTATCTTAATGTGTAGTTTGTACTTTCTAAGCAGCGAACAGGCTTTTTGCAACCGGGTCTCATGGAGTTCTGCACCGCATGCCTTCGTTAGAGATAACGATGAAATAATCCGACTATATCCCGATAATGTTTTTATAGCTTAGCGCAATGAGGATACATGGCGCCTATTTGTCGTTTTTATAATGTCAAGTTACGTTCATGACTTTATTTCTTTATCCTTAGATTATTATTATTATCAAATATTCTTATCATCATTTAGTGTAAACTTAATCGGCTATATAAATATAAAGTCTATAGTAAATCACCTCTTTTTTCCGATACTAAATCGCAAAAATAATTTACTTAAAAGAGGAAAGACATGGGTTATGCTAGATAGATTACATAGCTATCTAGACCTAGATAGCTATATTAGTTGACAGAGTAACCATCTTGTTTACGCTCGACGTAAAATACGTAAACTAGTGACGAGGAGTAGCGTCAAAGACGCGAGACGTCTGGATCTGCGATCACTAATCTGCTACAATCCTCCCTGCAACAGGAGAGGCCCGTGTCTAGCAGTGGAACCTTTACGGGATGGTGATGAAGGCGAAGAATTAAAAACGTAACTACCATTATAATAATAATAGTTCATATGTATTATTATATACAGTATATATACTATGTTTCGACTATCTATTCTTAAATAAAACTAAACGCTAAAATTACGTTCATGTAGTTGTTTATGTTTTACTGCTGATGCATTCCAAAAAACATCACAATGCGTATGAACTTGAAGTAAAAAAAGAGATTTTTAAATTCTAAAAGCTATGCTCAACTTTCTTTGTGAGCGGCATACCGAATCGTCTAACTTAGTTAAGATGGGTATCACGTACTCCGTACATTCGTAGCATACAGATGGACCCCCGCAGGAAAGTTGTCTATGGTGATACCGCCAAAGACAGTAAAACATTGACTTTGAAAATTGCTGTGACATTATAGACATTTTTTATATTATTGTAGTTAATTAACAACTGTCACACAGAACTTAAAGCGTCTCATTAGTTATTACACAAGTGGTAAAATTAAAATTTTTGTACAATCGGTTTCAATATAAATAAAATGAGAACATCATCAATGTAGCCGAAGTCAATTAAATACGCATTATTAAGGATAACTCAAAAACTACTTACTAGTCAGATCTTGATCAAATTTATATGGGATCACATGAGAAGTACCAACTTTTCTAATAAAAAACCATCATAATCGGTTCACCTAGAAAAAAATTCTGAGGTAACACACAACACAAACACAAAAATACAGTCGAATTAATAACCTTCTCCTTTTTTTCGAAGTCGGTTGAAGACGTGGTTTATTGATAGTCTCAGTTTTAGTCCTTCTAATTAATGAAGTTCCTTAGCTTAGCACCGCAATTATTGCGAAATTTGACATTTGCTGTTAATTTCCTATTTCGGAAGGCCAAATTGGCCCTCTTTAAAACTTGGCTTGATCAGTAGAGCATGACAGCGTTTCATGCAGGCACACCGCTTTCATCTTTAAGAGAGGCAATTTCACCCTCACATTGAATACTATTCTCATCACTGGGCCGAGACCCCAGTGCCAGATCATTCTCCTTGACCGCATCCAGCGGAGGGCGGCTAGAATCGTCCACGACCGAGTTCTTTCTGATCAGCTTGACTCACTGGCGCTGCAAAAAGATTATGCATCTCCTTGCATATTCTATCGCATCTACCACGGTTGCATTAAGGGATTGTTCGGACTATCTCCAGCCGCTAAATTCCACCACCGCACATTGTAACAAAATTCGCGATACAATCCGTAGCATATGGATGTTGACCACTGTGCGATTTACAAGTTTTCTTTCTAGCATAACTTCTTTGTGCGATCGAACACTAGCGAATTTTCCAGACCGACACGATTTACGGCAGAACGCAACACTTAGGGTGTGACAAGAAAGCCTACTCTTTTTTAAAAGGTAGGCAACGCACCTGCCATTCTCCAGGTGAAGCAGTTGTGTTCATGAGCGGCCATACTCATTTGCCCTCTCTTATAGAAAAAAAAAACTTCATATTTTACATTTCACTCATTTATCTATAATAAATAATCTTACCCATTTTGTAGCTAAGTATTCTGAGTCCGACACTAAAATCACAGAAACTAGACTAAAATTTTGTCTTTGTTTTTGTATTTTAGTATCGACCCCCAAGCTCGTCGTGCTTATAATGTCCCATGTCGTTAAGAATTGACAAGTGACAACCAATTTAAAAGAAAGGTTCTCGAGAGGCAGTGTCGTACCGGCAAGCGCACTTTAGTTTGCAAATTAAAATCGATGTTGTGAATTTATAGAATCGGCACCGTTTTCTAGATGTTGTTTATCCCCGTGAATTGTGAATATATTTATAAGTGACAAATTCAGTATGGCATGAAATATTTATGGCTTTTTTTTTTTAGTTGCTGGTTATATAGTACATAGAACAAAGTTCATCAGTAACAATTACCTACTACATATATGTTTTGCCTCTTATCCGTGGATTAATGATCATAGTGTTATTGTTCATAGTTTTGCTGCGTGAACCGATTTTGATGATTCTTTTTTTTTATTTGAAAGCTAGTGCTTCACATGTGGTCCCATATAAATTTGATCAAGGTTTGGCCAATAGTTTCCGAGTTATTCTTAACAGTTTATATTGAAGTCGGTAGTACAAATTTTTTTATTTTAAATTACTTATTTTCATCTAGCATCCTATCAGAATTGCCTAGCACCTTAGTGCTAGTGCTGCTAGTACTGGCGATGCAACATTTCAATTTTGTAGTCTTCTTTTCTTAATCTGTAATTAAAGTCTAGCACTAACCTGCTCTACTGCTACCGGCATGGAGGCACTCTGGGGCGGGACTGATTGCACTGGACGTGCCGGCTTGGCTGCAGCGCGCTGCAGCGTTGCCCGCTTCACAGATACCATCAGCCACACATCTTCCACTCTTTGTGCCACCTAAGATAAAAAATCAAACAAATTAGAGATTATTCAAATAAATTATATGCTCAATAAATTATATATTGTATTTAAAAGAACAATGGTGTGGGTGATAAAACGAGCACACAGTCCACCTGATGGTAAGTGGATGCTGCAGCTCATAGACATATACATTTATCCTCGATTAAGAAACAACATGCAAATGCATTGTCACCCTTGATGACTGGGATGTTTTTTCTTTTTCATAGAATATGGATGACAAACGAACAGTGAGCACACAGTCCACCTGATAGTAAGTGGATGTGGTGTCCCATAGATGGATGCTTCATTTCCTGTAAAAAAAGTATCCGGTTCTCTACACTCACCATATGAAACACAGCAGTATTAAGCTGCCATTTTAAGCTGCTATTTTGTGATAGCGTAGTCCTTCCCTGCTCGAGCCGACCCATTTGTGCTAGAACCATTACATAATATATAGCTGCAGCGTGGCTCTACCAACTGTAAATGACAACCACAGTTTATTCTTATTTTGAGTTGCATCAGAAAGATAACGCCGCCCATCTCCTCCTACAACACACACACGCGGAAAGATATGGTGTAGTGCATTCTTTTACGTTACCCACCTGCCAAGCTTGGCAATTAAGGCAAATAAGGCTCATAGGGGGATCCCCTGTTCGGCAATCTAGACTTAGACCTAGAGACCTATGTTCAGAAGTGGACTTTTAATAGGCTGTAATGAATGAATGAGTGTATGAAAAAAAATCTTAACTATTTTTTTCTTTATTCTCACCTGAGCGACCAGTGCCCTGGTTTCTTGTGTCGCGGACTGTAGCAGCATATCCCGAAATTGTTCCGGCGCTGTTAGACCAAAACTCTTCGCATCGTCTAGCAACTTGTCTACAGCTATGAGTCCTCCTTCTCCGGCTAAAATTTCGACTCCTGTAGTGCACCATTCGTTTGCCTATATGAGTTCAAACGAAACAGATATTTAATTTTAAATAGGCGCTATTAGTCTTAAATTATTTAAAAAAAAATTAGAACCTTTTTATATGGCGCAGTGGCTTAGCAGAGAGTTACAGCTTTGAGGGCTGCGGGTTCGAGTCCCGCACGGAACAAATATTTGTATGGCCTACAAACAATTGTTCCGGGTCTGGATTGTTGTCCTTGTGCAATTTATGTATATAAACTGCCCCATCGATACCGGAGAAAATCCTAATGTGGAGGTAACGTTTAAAAAGAACAACCGTTTAAGAGCGTGGCACCATGCCGTTGTAATACTCACGTGTAGGCAAAAACTTCTATGTATAATACTAGACGTTCTCTGCGGCCTTAATACACTGCGCACTAAGTTACGGTCAATTCTCAGTAACTCTTTTAGTCGACTGGGGGCAGGCGAGAAGATTAGTTCTTTGTTATGTAAACCGCGAACGTTGTTTTCAACAATTGTCACTAAGAAAACGCTGTCGATAATTATGTGCGCACTTTGTCAAAGTGATTTGAAGTTTATTTCAGATAAGTTTGTAATTTTATTTCGTATTACCTAGAAACATTAACTATCGTAAATGAAAATACAAGTGGCATATTTACCATGCCAGCCGGCGCCTGCGCCCGAGCAATCTACAGCGGTGATACGGTGTTTGTTCTGAATTGCCAGTCTAGTAGTCATGATCATCAGCCTCCCCCAAGGAATGCCACAAAGCACGATTCTGAGCCACCTGCATCCATCGACTTCCTGCATGTCCTACCAGGTCGTCACTCCATCTAGTGAGGGTCGCACTACACTTCGCCTACCGGTACGAGGCTGCCGCTTGAGAACCTTTTTTCCCCATCGATTGTCGGTTATTCGAGCTATATGACCGGCCGTAGTAGGTATACATAAGAGTGCCTCAGACCATAGTCCTTGTTTTCAAAAATGGTTTGATAGAATTGAAAACTGTTTAAAATTTTGTGGAGAATAATTTGAAAAGCAGTTAATATATTAATTTATATATAAATAGCATTATTTATGAGTTACGCAAAACTTACAGTGTACCACACGCACTAGCTCATACAAAAGTGCAAGCACAGTTTAGAAGGAACCGTGCATTTAGTGGATAAGCACGGACAACGCACGGTTGCCATGCGGTTACTACACGTTACACGGCACGTTACTGTGCCATACAGGGCTAATGTCAAATTTTTCTCAGTTAAAACTCATGTCAAATACCTAGGATTTATTTCATTAAAAAAAGTTACCTCTACACTGGGATTTTATCCTGTATCGTTGGAGTTTACATAAATAAATATCACAAGGAAAAACATCCAGACTCGGAATAATTATTTGTAGGCCATACAAATATTTGATCCATGCGAGATTCGCACCCGCGGCCCTTAGCGCTCATTGCTAAGCAACTGCGTCACGGAGCCGTCAAATTTAAAAAATTACAAAATTTATCAAAATTACGAAATTTTAATTTATGTTTTAAATAATCAGGAGAGAAAAAATAGTTTGTTTTAAAAGTAAGTGCTACTAACTTCCGTTTAATTATTTGCATTAAAAGTAGTTCATTAACATTTATATTTAGCCTTAATGGTTAATACGTATCGATTCGAAGTGTTTGATTGATATTTTTATTAATCGTTTTCAATATCGAAAAGATGATTTGAAGTAGTCTGGGAAATGTCAACAAACCGATATTTACTAACCTTAACCTACCTGTGGACAACTGATAATAACGAAAAATTTACCTTATCTATCCTGTCCATCAGTTCCCGGGCTTTGGTCAACAGTAAGTTCCGTTTCTGTATCTTATCAATAAGCAAAGCGCTGGTCCTCCTCAATTCCTCACATTTCGACTCGATATGGTCCACAGAGCTAAGCGGGTCTTTCATAAGGGTTTCTCCTACAAAAGAAAGAAAATAATGACATTGTAAATCTTAATCATCAAAGCTGTGTATTTGCAAGTTATTGAATTTAAAATAATTTAAAATTAAAAATGTTGTAGAACCGATTTCAATATATATTATTAAGGATAACTCGAAAACTGTTGGTCTGACCTCGATCAAATTTATATGGAACGACAGGAGAAGCACCAGCTTTCAAAGAGAAAAAGAAGCGATGAAATCGGTTCACGTAGAACAAAGTTATGAGGTAACTTCTAAATTAATTCCGAGAAATCGGTCAACATGCATAAAGAAACATAGGCGTCTTCTTTTATAAGAGAGATTGTTTTCCTCGATAACTCAAAATAATTTTGAGTGTGAGTTAAATTCATTAATTATTGTTATATAGTACAATTTCACAACCGAATCTACTCCGTCACCAGTAAGGGACTCCTACTTTACTTTCACTACACTGGTAATAGGATTATTTAAAACATATAAATCAACTTCAATAATATATAGGACCTACTAAGGAAGTGTACTCTCAGTATAAAATAGCTGTATCAGTTAACACGAATTATTGCGTTAGATACTTTAAAAACACAGTCGAAACCGATTTCTTTGGTAATGTTTATTGTGTTGTATCAAACCGTTCGAAATGAACTGCTTCTTTCATGTTAACATGTAATTAACTTCTATAGCCAAAATGGTAATGGAGTTACATAGGTTATGTTTGCGTAGAAATTTATCTCATTTCAGAGAGAGTTATAGAGCGATTAGTCTGCCGCGTCCAGTACGGCGGACTTCACATGTTCTCGAAATATTTTATTCCTTAGACTTGCAGGTTCTCTCACGATGTCATACTTCACTGCCGCACGCGGTAAATCACTTAATATTATATCAATTTTTCAAAAATAAAAAGGAACAGACCCATGGCTGGTAAATCAGTAGATACTTAAAATTGCGAATAACAAATTTCATTAGTGCCGGCGGGGATGGAACCCAACCCGGGCTTGCGTACTGTGAGATTTACAGCGAGCAGATTTCCATAGTGAGCATATTTGCTCTGTAGTCACATCATTTCACCTTAGTCCTTAAAGGTGGCAATACATCTATATCTTTTTTGTTTGAAGCTTGCTACAGGTGTCCACGGTTTGCAGTAACCACTTACCATTACTTGGAATTTAAGTTCTTTTGTAACTTCAGTTTTATATAAAAAACAGCGTTGTAAATGTATATATATATATATTCTACTAAGCCAGCGCTTATCTACGATCCCACTTGATGGTAAGTGGTGATGTAGCCTAAGAAGAAGCGCACTGCCTTAACAAAAGCCTATTCACTCTTGCCTTGAAGACACCCACACTGTAATCGGATGGAAAGACAGATGCTGGCAACTTATTCCACTCCTTTGCTGTACGCATGATGAACGACGTGGCGAACCGTTTGGTTCGAATGCGTAGTAAATCAACAACGAAAGGGTGGAGACTGGCCGAACGTCTGGTTGTGCGATGGTGAAAGGGAGAGGGGGGAATTAAATTATGTAATTCCTGCGCACACTCTCTGAAATGCATCCTGTAGAAAACCGAAAGGCTGGCTACTTTACGTAGCCAAATTTTTAAATGTAAGCAAATCTCAAAATGTAAGTCAGCTTTCACGTTTTGACAATGCAAATGGAAAGACCTATGTCCTACGCCAGCAGCGGGCTAAAAAAGCTGGTAGTGTGATATGTTTACAATATTTAATAGAAAAATATAATTTCTATTATAGCTGTATTTTAATTTTTACGTTACGTATTAAAATTTATACGTTTATTAAAATATTCTCTTACCGTCATCGATAACTGACGACGCAGTATTGAGATCGCAATTACACAGTTTCTCAAAATCGTTTGTTTCCTGTATTAGGCTTTCTACTCTGATCGCAGTCTCACCAACTTCGGTCATATCGCACGCTGTCTTTAAATGGTTATCTAAAGTTGCCTGTAAATAATAAAAAATATGAAAACCCAGTCCCTGTTATATCTTTCATATCGATCAGTATAGTCAAATGGTCGGACATTCTGTATAGAAAGAACGTCGTAAGAGACGATTATTTTCTATGTAACAGCAACTTAATAATACCCAGTCATAGAACAGCTGTTATCACCACAACTATTCCCGTTTCGTGATATGAAAACTTTAAAGATGTATATAGGTACTAATTTAGTTGCTGAAAGGACTTGCTGAGCTAATCAGGCGTACTTTAAAGTTCATTTTATGTAAATAATTTATCTTTCTATGTACATTATGCGTACCAGAAATACCTTTACGCTTCCTATAAATAGTGGTATAATTATCTCGTTTACTTCAGACGTATAATACACAGACTGGCTGCGGGTAGCAGTGGCTAAGGTTCCAAAGTTTTGGCAATGCGATCCTTCAATTTTTAATCTTTATCTATAGATCTATATATATAAATAAAATTGAAGTGTGTCTGTAATATTGAAATAACTTTCTTCTATTAAGCCCAGGGTGATGATATTTTCATGCTATTAAGACGTAAATAACCACTTTTTTTTTAAATTCTGTCCGGGCTAATCTACGGAATGACTGTACTGATTGTCATGAAATTTTACAAACAGATAGAGAGCAATACCAAGAGGGATCAAGGCTATATTTTATCCAAAATCTTCATTAAAAAAAACTTAATATTGATAAAATAAATGTCTGATTATCGTATGTCTAAATAACGCCACATTAATTCCCATCCAGACGAAACCGGGGCGGGTCACTAGTTTTTAACACACTGTCGCTAGTTTTTTGCTAAGCATGAGAATTCCCCTCTGCAACGGAATAGGCACCTGCCCTGCCCAGTTGTAAACTTTTACGGACATAAACTTACACTCTTAATTTTTGATTAAAGCTTCATTCAAGCCAGACTGACTGATAATAAGGTAGGATTTTTTTTTATTATTTCGATTTTTACTATCAGTTTCACCTGCACTTACTGCACTGCCCTTATATTTAATGAATACTTTAGGGAATACTAGTAAAAAGTAAAATAAATTTACAGCCTATATACGACCTACAGCTAGGTACAGAAATGTACGCCGTGTTGCCACAATGCGTGTTGGACGCTTGGTGTCCGGCTAGTCTTGTAGTACTAGCTATAACGTATAGACAGTTATGGAAACTGACTATTTTCTTTATAACGTATAGACAGTTATACATAACTGTCATACCTGTCTATTTCTTATAACAATCTGCAACGTTGCAAAGTTGCAACGGGCCGGATCGTGATATTATTATCACAAGAGATTTTCGCTTTATGTAAACTTACTAAGTTTATTCTCAAAACCATCATCATCATCATCAAAAACTTGAATCGGTGTAAATTTGTAAAATATTGTAAATCGTTAGCTGATAATGTACATAGAAAGAAAAATGATGTACATAAAATGAACTTTAAAGTACGCCTGTTTAGCGCAGCAAGTCCTGGAGAAATTACGAAGGAAAATTAATTTCAGCAACTAAATTAAGCGCGAACACAATTAAAATACACTAGTGTGCGTGGAATGTGCATGTGTGGGTGAGAAATAGTGCTGCACCATGTATTGCCGGCCTAAACTATAATTATCGATACCGATTGCAGTATATTCGTGTCTTCTGATTTGACGCAGATGACGTAAGTGAATATTTTTACCCAACTATGGCGAAACCAAAAGGATTCGAGCAAGTATTGCAAGACAACAAGCTTCGGGTCTCGCGCCTACGTCACAGAGACCGAACGAAGCTGGCCGCAGTCGAGCGTGTGCATTGTTGCACAACATGTCGCTCAACAACTACGTGGAATGTCCCGAAACATATGTCGCGGCACATTTTGCAGGCCACACTAGTGAGTGCTTATTGAAATGTATATAGTACATATTTCGGGAGTGAAACGTAAGCGAAAGAGAAGGTGGTGGATGCGGAATTTCTTATTACAACGAGAAGGAAGAAGAATTAATATTTTAAGTGATCTCGGAATGTCTGACGGATCTTTTGTGAATTTTACTCGAATGTAAACATCTGATTTTGAAATTTTATAACAAATGATCGGACCTTCCATAGCCAAACAGCATACAATACTACGGAACGCTGTTGGCCCTCATATCAGACTTGCCATTGCATTAAGACACTTGTCGTAACGAAAAGTCGTACACTTTTCGAGTGTCGAAACAACTGATCGATAGAATAGTACCAGAAATTTGTGGTTTGAAGTATCCCACAACAAAACATGATTCTGGTAAAGCTCAAGAAGTAAAAGGACGGTTTCGTTTCCCCACACTACTAACATATTGCAAGACAAGTTGCGCACACGACTACACCCGGTAACAAATGGCGCGACACTGATGCGGGACAGGTGCGCTCGTTCTCGGAGCGGGAACAAGCAACATGTCCCGCGTCACGTAAAATGTTGCGCTCCATGTTGCGGGTCACTGTGCAACGTTGCATCGTCACGTAGATTGAGAGTTCCGCATCATATTGCGAGACAAAATGTCCCCTAGTCATACGATGAAAATATTTAACTACGGTAACCTAAAAATTAAATATATATATATATATTACTAAGTTACATTATTTTAAATTCAATTGTTTTCCATTGAGATGATTATTATTATAAAATGTGATAATATTTCCTATCCATTGAAGTACAAATTGTTTGTACTTACTCTAAAACACAGCATTTAGACAGCTAAACATTTCAATCGTACCTACAAGTTAAATGTATAATAATGTGGGTTTTCTTTCTGAGGTGAGTTATATTTAGGTACCACGCATCTAATCATAATTAATTACGTCTATTAAAAACTAATTTTCACTTTAAAGCCTGAGATTTTGCAAATACAAGCGGAATTGCTTTCGAATGACGCCAGGCCGATACAGGCCGATAGCGTGTACGTGAATGGTCTAGTCTATCTTTTTCGCTCTAACATACGCGTAAACTATGCTCTTTTTCTTTTACATTGCCAATTTATTCTAACGTTAGTTACTGAATCTATGACTACATCGAAATCCTACTAATATTATAAACGTGAAAGTTTGTAAAGATATATGGATGTACTTTCATGCAAAAATTAATAAATGGATTTTAATGAAACTTTACAATTATATAGCTTATACATCAGAATAACTCATAAGCTGTAATACATAAAGATATTGTTTAAATTGGCCAAACTATAACGATAAATGTTAAATAAGTCGGAAAAAAATCTGTCCTCTGCGGGCTATTTTGGCGTGCGGTGCAAAAACTGTAAGTTATACGAATATAATGTATGGTGGAATTGTTCCTCCTAAATAGTTCTACAAAAAAGTCCGCGACAGTATATATCTATATTTTATGTGTAAGCCAAGGAGTAACTTATGCTACTTTTATTCTAGGGTTCCGTGCAAAATAATTCCACGCGGGCGAAGTCGCGGTGGACAGCTAGTATTGATATAAAATATCAAGTATCAAATACGATACATTTCTAAAAGCAAAACCGTTGTCGCCATTGATTAAAACCACTGGAATTCAGATAATCCATTCAAATTTTGGATTAACAGCCACCATTTCACTACAGTCCTTTCAAAAATAACGCTAAATCATTTGGAACCTACTGCATCCTCAGTTTCAGAATGGCATCAGCTGCTAATCTTAACGTACCCAATAACAAAAGCCAAGTATCAGCAGAGCACGCCAAGCTTAGAGTTTTTCTTTTGTCTCTTTCGAATAGGTATTGATTTAAGTAAGTACATTTAATTGTATACTCTATTCAGTTAGATTAAAAATTATTATATTTTTATCAATGTTTAGCTTAGTTTAGCTGATACACGCTGGCTTCGCTGGGCGCACGATAATATTTTATTGCGGAATCTAGATGTAAAACATCACGCACGTTCTTAGTTAGCGTCCACATTGCGAAATTAGTAAATATACAAAATTTCAAGTCAATCGGGTGTATAGTTTTATAAATATTTTTCTTAAAAGTTTTCTTAAAATATCGATATATCGATATATCGATATTTTAGGCACTTCTGCATCCGCCAACATTGACGATCACATCCATAGCTATATTTTTTTTATTTCACAGACATGCAGGTTGGTTCACGATATTTTCCTTCACCGTCGAGCACCTGGTAAATCAGCTATTAAAATTTGTAATTAACAATTTCATTGACGCATATTATTCTTCCATTTTGATTTATTTAAAAAAAATTAAAAGTGCACTGACAAACAAGATGCATAATTAGTAGGGATTTAAAAACAATACACATACTTATTTTTAAAAAAAATATAACCTCCTTATAAAAACTTCATACTTTAAAATTAAAAAAAATATCTACTACCTAATTTAAAAAAAAATTTGACAGGATACTTAAGTGTTATTTAAGACAACGTCAATTATTTACGGTGTTAATCAAATTGTTTCATTTATTACTATTATTGTGTATAAAATTTTGAAACGCTAAGGAATGATGTTAGATATGGTATGTAATTTTCGTAAATGCAGAAAACCATTAACAAATCAAGCCTGGGTCACAACTTGTTCGCATGCATTTTGTATAGAACACGGCCAAAAAGAATTTAAGCGAAACGCTGAAAATTCATTAACATGTCCAGCTTGTGGCAATGAATTACGCGATAAATTTGATGTTATTCAAGCTGACCTCAAACCTAGTGAAACTTTTAAATCTATAGTTTTAGCCGGAATGAAGCCTGACACTATAATGGATGTCGCTATGAGAGCAATATCATTTTGGTCATATCAAATAGAACAAGAAACATTGTATCAGGAGAATTTAGCAAAACATTCTAGAGAAAAACTTCAATGTTTGGAAGAAATAAACACTCTCAATCTGCAAAAACTAAAGGCGGAATTAGAAACCTGTAAACGTAAAATTGCATCTTTGCAAGTTGAATATAATAAAAAGAAAAAGCAGGCTGAAGAACTTACAGCTTGTTTAGAAGATAAAACAAGAAAAATACAAAAGCTTACGTTTCAACTTGACGCTCAAAGAAGAAAAAATATTCGCGTCGATAAATTTGAATCAAGTAAAAACAGTGAAAAATTCATGGAAATATCTGACTTGGTAGGTAAAAGAGCGTCGTCAAATGATTTTATATTTAGGCCAATGAAAGATATGGAGGAATCTCAAAAGATTTGCACACCTAAAACACCTATGTTCGATTTTCGCAACAGAAACAAACAACCAGATAGAAATAAATCATTTAAATTTAGACCATTGCCATCTTAGCACTGTAAAATAGATCTGATTAGGAGTTAAGCGTACTTACTTGCATTTGTTTGAAATTTAATAAAAAGGTGCGAAACTTCAACCAGTGGTTTAATTTAGTGGAATGTTTCTGCCAGAAATTATCAAATTGTTTCTCTGTCTCATCGAGTTGTACCAATAACCTGAAAAGACAATGTACAGGTAGGTAAAGGTGATCCTTATAATTGTAATTATATTTGTCGGGATTCTCTAATGTAGTTGTGTGTTATGAAAGCCGCTACTTAAGTCTCATAACAATAAGGTGACGACATAACAAAGCTGCTTTTCATTAGCCTAAATAAATAGGTTATAAATATGCAAGCATTCTTGTTCTTTGTTTAATTTATCAATTCATTCAGTTATCATACATATCATAAATTTTTATGACGTAAGCGTTAAACGTACACACAAAAAATATACAAAATTATTTATATTCTTTACCTCTATAATATTACCAATAATGTCCTATCGAATTCGGTTCCCACCGACTTTCGGTCACTTAAGGTGACACTAGTCGACATTATTTCCATAGAAATTTCGGAGGGGTTTTACTCCGCTGTTTGACAGTGTACATCCAAAATTAAACATGATATCGTTTTGTCTCATTATTAAATTTGTCTGTACGGAAACAGAATAGTAAAATAAAATGTTATTAAAAAGTTACGAGCTACCAAAGATTCGTTTTTATTGCCAATTTTAACACAACTTTGGGCGTAAATTAGTAATAAAAGAAGTGTAAAATTTCCAAAACAAAGTCGGTACCGACACAGGTAAATTATCGAAGAACTCAATAAATTTTATTTCTAATTGATTATTGCAGTGGTTTTTTCATAAAACCCCTTCTTCCAAAGGCCTTTTCGTATTTTTTACGCGCGCATGTTACTATGAATTATCGTGCATCTCACTGAATAATGTCTCCCCCGGTGCGGTGCGGGAGGACGATGCTTACACACACATGCACAGGCGGTGACGCGCGCTTATAAGTATTCGAGTTTTATTCGAAACGAAAAGTTTTGCTATTTTGTAATTTGGACGCCTAAGACAAAAGACGGCATGGAAATTGATATAATTGAAAGAGATGATGCGTTTTGGACGACAGACAATATTTTAAAATTTTCGTCTGTAATATAATATAATTATAAAAGTAAAAAAAGTAAAGTTTATATTCGATTACTATATAAAATTGCAACAATTTCATTGGTGCCGACGGGGATCGAACCCGGGTTGCTCGCGTAATGTGATACTTACAGCGGGCGCTAACCATCTGAGCTACCACGGCTCTCAATGCAAGTGTTATAAATAAATAAAGAATTACAAAACAGTTTAATTATTTATTAGACGACTTTTGCGGCGGATAAACAAAGTATATTATGTGGGATTTTCATAGGTACCTACTGTTATTACCTAGATACCTACAATCAACAATACAACAAAATGTCACAAAACCTCGCCGCGTCGTGGCCACAAAATTGTAAACTTTAGGTAGGTACGTCGGTACTAAGAAAACAATCTTGATGGGTCACTTGTCTTGATAAAAACCTGTGTTTACGTTTAGTGATATTGAGTATATATAAAAAAATAAGAAGCCAGGTAAGTAAGTATTTTTGAAAACAATTTATAGGTAGGCAGACCAATTACGATTATTATCTAAATATTATAAATGCGAAAGTTTGGATATTTGGATGGACGGATGAATGGATGTATGTTACTCAATCACGCCAGAACGGCTGAAGGGATCTGGATGATATTTTGCTCAGAGATAGGCTATAGTCCGGAATTTTTTTTTTTCAAATAAACGTTACCCCGCACTAGGGTTTTCTCCTGTATCGTGGAGGCAGTTTACAAACATCCAGTCCCGGAACAATTATTTGTAGACCATACAAATACTTGTTCGATTGATTCGAACCCGCGGCTCCCAGTACAACAATTCATTGCTAAGCCACTGCGCCACGGAGCTGCCAAATATCATATAATATGATACCGTTTATTCAGGTATTTCGTTGCCGTGGGATAATTATCGAGTTACACACGTTCGAAGCCGAACTCTTGAGTGATTGCTGCATGACCACTCGGGGAAAACTAAACATAATAAAATAAGCAATCTATATTAGGTATATAGAGCCACAGACGTATACCTAATAATTTCGTGGATTCACCCGCGTCATCACGTGTCCGAGATGCGTGGCATGACATGACACCTAGTTCAAGCATTTTATAATTGCAATCAAATATTTTATTTGATTGTAATGTATGGAAAAATTGTCATGATTAATGGAGTACTTTTATTTTATCTGTCGGCATATTATGCGCGGTTTTTTCCAGTTTTAAAGAAAAACGTACACGATTCATGAAAAGTGTGTAGGCAAGAAATGATTCTTGATAAATTTGCTATCAACCTCTTATACTTATTAATTAATTAAATTTAAACTTTCAAAATACCATAGCAACGTGAAATGAAAGAGTTCAGAAATAAAGATGTAACTAATCATTGCTACGCTCACCCGGGAGATAGATAAAAGTACTCAATTAATTTTGAATTTATTTTAGCTACTAGCTGTACCCCGCGACTTCGTCCGCGTTTAGTTTAGGGCGTTAATATTGTTGCAAAGACACCTAATAATTTTTCTAAAATTTAAGCAGGCTAAGTTACTTCTTATAACATGAGCTATCTACTAGTGAAAGTCCCGCCCAAGTCGGTCCAGCCGTTTTGGAAATTAACCGCAACAAACAGACTGACAGACATACAAAAATGTTAAAAATTGTGTTAATGTTATAAGTACCGTATACAGTTTCATACGCAATTAGTAAAAAGCTGTTATTTTGACATTATAACAGACACTTCAATTTTATTTATTTGTGTATATATATAGATAACGATTGAACTAACGGCTAACCTAACCTCGCTCATAGAAGCTTTCAATACTGGCTTCTCAGTTCGCACCGGGCTAGAGGTTATGCGTTGTTTGCGCGTCAAGCCAAGTAGGTATTGAATTATTTTAATTTTACATTATCTCTTAAACTATGTACTATATAAACATGGTATAAAGAACGAAGTTTATCTTCATAAAATTGTCTTGATAATGAAGTAACTTTGGTTCGTAAGGTAAATAATTAAATTTTCATTTTTTTTTGTCACAAAATGCCTAATTGTGGCTTATATATAAGAAATAGACATATGGTATCGCGGACTTTTTTTAGACGGAGTAAAGATCTATATTTTTCTAGAACATTGTATTTACGTATCCCGAACCATAACAGCGCTTTTTCTTCTGACTTCCTTAACAAATATAGGCTAGCTGAGATATATAGCCTAATGCTGTATAGCCTATACTATTCAACATGATAAGCTATAATATCCAAAAAAAGATTTTTCAAATCGGACTGGTAGTTCCAGAGATTAGCACGTCAAACAAAAACCCTCTTCTGCTTTATTATATTAGTATAGATGTTGCATCGTGTTCGTGTAACTTCGTTTTTATTCTAACGGTTCGGAACACCGTACGAACAAGACATGCGTGAATACTAGTGTCGATATGCTCATCACTGATACTATCTCTGTCGGGCACGATGCCAGGTGAGACAGCGTGCTTTTTGGCCGCGCCCACCAGCGAGTTCGAGCCCGCGACTTGTGCCACCTTAACGGAGACTAGCCTTTTGCGTAGGAGAGAATTATAGTGCCAGAGTGTAAGCACAGATGCACTCTTTATTCCCAACTCACTCTTATATTCCAATAGGATAGTAATCCGATACGACCGGAGAGAAATCAGGTACAGTAACAAGAAAGTTTCGGGTCACTTCACTTCGTCTTGACAGAAAAATTAATAACCGATTGTTTTGATCCGGGATTCGAAACCGCGACCTCATGATCAGCAGTCTGTTTACAATCACTAGACCAACGCGGCAGCCATATAATATATTTTACTATCATATATATAAATAAGTAACCGCAGAAGCCAAGGCGACAGTAGAATTGTCAGTTCTGTGGACTATGATGAAATACCTCACAGCCTGTGAAGTTTACAGCTGATAAAAAGAAGAAGGTTAAAATGTATGGCATTTGTTTGAATTGAAATCTAGACGAATAAGCAAAGTGTCTGTCTGTAATATTGAAATAACTAGCTTCTATTGAGCTCAAGGGTTATTTAAATGCTATTAAGTCATACCGTTACAGTGTATTAAAGTCCACTGCTGAACATAGGCCTCCACCTTAGATTGCCTTATAGGGGGATATTTGCAATAGTTGCCGCACATGGCAAGCGGGTTGGCAACCGCAGTTTGTTTTATTCTTAGTCGTTCTATGGAAGATGCTGCTGTCATCTCCTGATTTGTTTCCCTCTGTCGTTTCTTACGACACCCACAGGATACCGTGGAGTAGCGGTGTAAGAATATCCACTACCCCATATCATCCCGTGGGTGTCGCAAGAGGCTATTTAAACATATTATTCAACCATATTTAATATTTTTGACCGTTCGGCCAATGTTCTGAATGGATGAACCGATTGTGATGAAACTTTGTGAGCAGATAGAGAGCAATGCCAAAAGGGATCTAGGCTATATTTTATCCAAAATACTTGAACATTTTTTTGGAAAATGACAAAGTGATAAAATAAAGAGTCCTTGACTATCTTTAATTTAAGTAACGCCACGTTAATATATTCTCCAGGCGAAGCCGGGGCGGGTCGATAGACTTACATTATACTTATTATAAAATGTGTCAGTAATTTAAATAATCTAATATATACAAATTAATATTTGCTTTTTTTTCGTATTTTATGCGCTGCCATACCGTTCGTCAGATTGCGGTAAAACTTTATCAACTTAGCTTGCACTTGCGCGAAGGTTATAGGCATAGTGCAATTAACTTACAGTAGGCGCGAGTATTGTACCGACAAATTTATTTAAAACTAGCTGTTCCCCGCGACTTCGCCCGCTTGTTATTTGGGGTTTTAATTTTCTTGCGCGGAACTCTAATTTTTTTTTTCTAAAATAATAGTAGCCTCAGTTACTCCTTGTGACATCAGCTATCTGCCAGTGAAAATCCCATCAAAATCGGTCCAGCCGTTTCGGAGATTAGCCGGAACAAATAGACAGACAGACAGACAAAAACTTTAAAAATTATATTTTTGTTATTAGTACCGTATATACTTTCATATGCATTTAGTAAAAAGCTGTAATTTTTACATTACAAACAAACACTTCAATTTTATTTACTTGTATAGATAATATATCATTCAACTTCAATTGACGTATTAATATCGTTCCTAATTAAACAATATAACTATTCCAAATTTAAAATAATATTTTTACAATTATTTCTTCCGCGGTATCAATGCGCCGGGTACCAGGTACCAGCTAGTAAATAAATAAATAAAATGTGACAGTATATATTATGTCTTGATGTTTTTATTTCAATCATACTTGAACAGTTTGACGGATTCTAGTAAAATTTTGCATAAAAGTCGACTATGTCGTGGAATGGGATATAGTACTTATACTTTTTATAAAATTTATTGAAAAATATTAATGCATTTTATTTTTGCTAAGCAAAGCCAGAGGGTAACTCGCTAGTATTCAAATGAAACTGGAAAAAGTTTTAAATGTTTACAAACAAACAATTTACAATTGTTTACAAAAAAAATGTTTTTTTGTCTGTTCTCCGCAAAACGGAGTCCGTTTGACCTGGCTCCTACTTTCAGAGGTACATCTGTAGAGGTTACTAATCATCTCGAGCTTCTTGGCATACAGTTGAGTGCTAACCTCAACTTCGGCGCTAACATTGAGTCAAAAACACAAAACTGCGGCCAAAAACTGGGTATTCTAAACAAAGTGAAGCGGTACTTCACGCCTGGACAGCTTCTTACTTTATATAAAGCTCAGGTCTGATCATGCATGGAATATTGTAATCACCTTTGGGATGGCTCAGCAAAATATCAACTTGGCGCACTCGACTCAGTGGAACGCAGAGCCAAGATGGATGACAAAAAGATGGTGAAAACTAAAGCTTCACATCTTAGCTCACCGCCATCAAGTTGCTTGTTTTTCAGTCTTCTACAGACGTACTGAAGGTTACCATCCACACTTGGTTGACATTCCGAACATTCGCACTAAGCGCTGTAAGTCATCTTTTATATTGCGCACAGCCAAGGAGTGGAAGGCCCTGACAGGCGTTTGTTTTTCCGAGTGCGTAAAGCCCTGAAACTCTTCAAGGTTTGTCCTGGGTAAACTCACTCCAGACCTAGACCTAGACTAGACCTCATCTCATGTTATATATAAGTAAAAGAATTGAATAAAATTCGGGCTTAAGTTCATGATAAAAGTTGACGGCCTTTTACATGGAAATCGTGTATAACTTAACGTTTGTTCACATGAACATACTTAAAATGCACGTTTGTCATATTATGTAACGTAGCTTAGCTTAGCTTATTGTATGAGTTTAACTTAAGTGACATTACTTTTAATAATTCTTAGCTTTAAATTTTACAATAATCAGTACACTGCACATATATAATTATTCCGGTGACCACACGGTATTATAAACATTACGCAACGTTTCGTTAATTATTTAGTAATTATTATTATAGCGATATTTCTTTTAAATATTTTGTAAGAAAACACTTTGATAGATTACAATAATTGCTATTGCGATACTATCTCGCAGAACTCGCTCCTCGCTTACTCTAGGAATAGGATCTATTAACGTGTCGTTATTTTAGTTTTTTCGTAAGGACATCATCAAGTTTCTCGGATAAAATGTAGTCTAGATCCCTCCTCGCAATGCTCTCTATCTTTTCGTAAAGTTCCATCACAATCAGTACCATTCCGAAGAATAGCGCGGACAGACAGAGAGACTGAATGTTTTTTTAAATTGTTGTTTATTGTTTTGCATGGCATCTAATGGCATGCAAATAACCCCTTGAACTTAATAGAAGCTAGTTATGCCAATATTACATATTAACAATTTATAAGTATAGATAAATAAGACCGAAAAAGTATAAAATATACATTTTCAGACGCAAAATTATTTTTTGGTTGATCTCATTGACCTACTACTTGTAGTCAATTGGGGACGTAATTCGATCAAGTGGCAAAATTAAAAATGTTGTACAACTGACTTCAATATAAATTATTAAGGATAACTCAAAAACTACTGGTCAGACCTTGATCAAATTTAAATGGGAATTAAAAAAAACACCAGTTTTCAAATAAAAAAGAATAAACGAAATCGGTTCAACTAGAAAAAGCTATGAGGTAACACACATAAGAAAAGCATACAGTCGAATTAAGTACCTCCTTCTTTTTGAAGTCGGTTTAAAAGTATCTACCACTTTAAAACTTAACATTACCTAAACGGTTCCTAGCTTTTCAATAATACCATATAGGTAATATAATTGACTGCCTCGTCCTAGCTTTGAAGCCCGAGTCAAGCTAATATCAGTTATTGGGTTTTTCTGTCAAAAAATTAATCTCTGTAACAGACCGGAATCAGGAAGTTAGTTGGCCGTTGTCACTGCGTCTGTTAGTAATATCATAGATCTGATAGTACTATGAGAGTGATGGAATAGAGAGTGTACCTGTGTGTACGTAAATACACTTGTGCACTATAATCCTGTTCTGCGCAGATGGCTAGTCTCCATTGAGTCTGATCGCCGTAACTGAAACTTGATCTAGAGGACATTATTAAATAGCAATTTAATGTCATATTTATGATTTTTTTTATGAAGATAATTACGCTGTTTCGCGTTTCTGCCTTCACAGTACTTATTATCCATATTTAACATTTTCATAAAATGTTTTTTATTATTGCGCAATTTAACGTAACATTTAAATAGATACCTAGAACCTCTGTAGTACAAGGTTAAAAAGTATTAAAACTTCTCCTTAGTATTAAAGAATCGTTCTGACAATACTTCAGCAAAATGTTTAGTTTACAGTTACAGTTACAGCCTATTAAAGTACACTGCTGAACATACAGACTTCCCCCATAAATTGCCTCATAGGGGGAATATTTGCCATAGTTGCCACGCTTGGTAGACGGCTTGGCAACCACAGTTTTTTTTATTTTTAATCGCTTTTAAGAAGACGCTGTTGCCCATCTCTTGATTTGTTTCCCTCTGTCGCCTCTTACGAAACCCACGAGAAGATATGGGGTAGTGGATTTCTTACACTGCAACTACACGGTTTGTTGTTTAGTTTGGTTTGCAACAGTTTCTTCTACTTATAATTTAAGTTTATACGTAAAAGTTAAATAGGAATATAATATTTATTACCTCTCGACGGCTGCAACGTGACTTATAATATTATACGTAAGATTTGGTTTCCTCACTTGCGTTAGCAAATCTTCGCCTTGCGCAGTCGCTGACGCTAATTCGGTTTTTAAAGCTTTATACCTGAAATATAAAAAGTATTACATACATTAGGAAAGAATCGATTATAATCGCTCAAATCACTGATTTAATTCAATAGTGAATTTTCATAAGAAAATTTAGCAACAGTAGCCAAATGACAAGGCGCGGCTCACGAACTCAAAAGATCGTGGGTTTGAATCCGCCATTCGACTACTGTAGTGACCACTCCTTACACAAGTATTAGCACAACATAAGCTTACCAGGAGTGTAATGTTAATTAATAGGATTATTTGTTTTTTTTTTAAAAAGACAAAAAAATTGATTTGAAGTGACAAACGAACCTAAAGTCCACCTGATTTTAAATGACTACTGCAGTAAATGGACACCTGCAACTTACTTCAAATAAACAAGGCTACAGAAGAAGAAGGCTCAGTCATAGAGTGGTGATGAGTAGCATTACCTCGCGTTTTGAATATGGCCAAATATTGTAAGATGTTTTTTTTGATGTAATTGTATAAATTCTGTACACCTCCCTCTCTGTCGTTCTTTCAGAGAAATAAGACCACCAATAAAACCTATATATGTTTCATTTTTTGTTTTGTTTTGGTGCACAATCTAATAGAAAAAATTTATATTTCTTTGTTCGTTATATATGCGCTGCCATACCGTTCATCACATTGCGCGAAAAATTTGTCAACTCATTGCTTGCACTTGCGCGAAAGTTATTAATAAAGTTACACAGTGCAGTTAACTTACAAGTAGGTAGCGCGCGTATCGTACCGACAAATTTATTTCAAAGTTATATATCATTCAACTTCAATGAATGTATTATCATTCCTAGTTAAACAAAATAACTATTCTAAATTTAAATCGATATTTCTACAATTATTTCTTCTGCGGCAGCAACGCGCCGGGTACCATCTAGTAAAGAATAATAATAATAATAATAATAATAATAATATTCCACAACTATCACACAACGCCATCTAGTCCCAAGCTAAGCAGAGCTTGTGTTATGGGTACTAGACAACTGATAAACATACTTATATATTTCTAAATACATAAATATTATAGATAAATTACACCCAGACACAGAACAAATGATCGTGCTCATCACACAAACATTTGTCCTGGGTGGGAATCGAACCCACGACCTCCGGCATAGCAGTCAGGGTCACTAACCACTAGACCAACAGGCCTGTCAAATTATTAATATATTGAGTGATAAAGTAAGAGTAATTTTTTTTAACAACTTACCTAGTTTCTTGACAGTCTAGTAATTCTTTGGTTTGTGTAGGATCATTGCCCATATCGCAGTCTACAATCTCATGCATAAAGTTGTCCAACTTGCTCGATATCTCTTTCATTAGTGTCGAAAATTTCTCCAAGGCCTAAGGATATAATGTTTTGTTAAAAGTAAACGTACAGTAGTACATCTGTAGTGGAACAGTAGAAGAATTCTCAGAATTTCATAACGGCGATCAGCACATTATGAAATGTCCCAAAATATCCACATAAGGATTTCAGTGCGCAAGAATAAACATCATTGAGTTATTTTATGCATGATTATGTACTTTCTTTGTTTCTGCATTTGTAGAGACGACTCTATACTAATAGTCTTACGCTACACTTAAAAGCATTAATTACCAAACGAAATTTTAATACTGTTTAAAAACGTAAAGTGTAAATATATTTTTTTTATATTAGTAAAGTAATATTTTTTGTAATGTAGAGCACTTTATTATCATACAGTTCAATCCACATAAATAAATCTTACATTATATCTAGGTTCTAGACCCCCGTGATCATTGCAAATACTGGCCATAGTGCCTTGGAGCGGGACACTTGTATACAGATTACAGATACTCATACAGATGAGTAAACAGTCATGAAATTTACACACAAAGAGAAACTCGTCTCGATTCAGCAATGCAATCGGCCAACTTTGACTTTGGCATTGTCTATGTCATTCACATCGATACGGCGCTTTTGTGGCTGACTTGTAAGTCGTAAAGATAATAGGAGTTAATATATTAAGTATTAAATTTCATCATCATCATTAGCATCATTAGCTCACGAAAGCCCATTGCTGGTTTTATTTTACATCAATCTAATTTTCTACGGGAGAAAACCGTGCAAATAGAAAACTATTTTTTCTAAATTAATCAAAACTAACCTGTTTAAAGCATTAATTTAAATACTCAGTAGTATGTCAATGGTTTAAATTTAAAAAATAAAACATAGTCAACATATTTTTATGTTTTTAATGCAATTATTGTTTAAGTGATTCCATTTCTCTTCTATTCGTACCCTCTCTACATTTCATCTCTTTAGCTAGAATTATCTTGTTACTGAGAACTTACTATTCGCTGTTGAATCCACTCAGAGTGTGAATATTGCAACTCTCCTCCAAGGTCCGGTGTCAGCTGTGACCTGTCGAAGTGCTCGTACAACTCTTCAATACAGGAGCAAACAAGAACGCGGAAACGAAATTCTTCCTTGAATAGTTTGCTACTAACTTCAGACAGGGCTTTTTGAAGAAAGCTCGCCGGTCTTAATACGTACACAGAGTGGATGACACCAGGGAAAAACTCCTGGAAATGTAAATATAGTCCACATTTACTTTACGACTGTTTTAAATGGTTTCAAATCATAATAATATAAAATATTTTTTGGTTCTACCCCATAAACTAACTCTATGAGGGATTTGAAACGTTACTACAGTTAGCAGGCAGGTTGGCAGGCGCGTTGGCAACTGCTGATATTTATTATTTTGAGTTATTATGACAATCACGGGATGATATGACGTAATGGATTCTCTTGCGCCACCACTACACGACAATCAAAATATTTTTTCTAGTATTTTCTTTATAGAATAAGGGTGACAAACGAGCACACAGTCCATCTAATGATAAGTGGATGCTGTGGCCCATAGACATCTACATTTATCCCCAATTAATAATCAAAATGCAGATGCGTTGTCACGCCTGAGGACTGAGATGGAACGAGGCATTCCATACCATACCCGTGAGGACTAAGAAGGAATGCCTTGTTTCCAGTCAAATGTCTACGGTTTTCTACACTCACCATACGAAACACAGCATCATTAAACTGCTATTTTACGCTGGTATTCTGTGATCATTCCCCGGTCAGGTCGATCCATTCGTGCTGCAACCACAATATAACTGCAGCATGGCTCCACCACGTAAAGTATATTAATATTATTAAAGAAATTCCCTAACGACACACAAAATAAAATAAATACATCAATACTCACAGATATTCTTATCAATACAGTTTTAACAGAGTTCCATCTGTCTTTTCGTCGATCAATTATTATATGGAAACCCATTTCAGCTTCTAATAACCTGAAAAGAAAAAAAAGTGTCTTAAAAAGAAAGAAATAAGGAAACTTATCTTAAATAAATAACGGTAATTCAAACTTATTTTTACTCGGCGGCCCCGGAAGGAGCGTAATGTTTTTCGAGAGTACTATGACTATTTCTTTGGCACGGTCGGTAGCCTTACCGGCTTGCTAGAGTCAAACGTATGAGGTGTCGTCGTTAGATTCGTCTTAATTGTGGGACTGAAGCTATATAACATTTATACATTGCGTCTGCAAATACAAAAAAAGGTAGGGGAAGATTTTTAACACAGTCCGGTTTGGTTAAATCACTGTTTTAACAATTTGCTTGTTTGTGTATAATACACTCAGCGGCACGGAATCTTGGCCAAGCGGTTATCTCGCGATAGCAAAAGCTTTAAGTGTTTCTGATGAATGTTTGTTATGCAGGTATGTCAAAAAATGTTTGCTCTCAAGTTCAAGAGGGTAATTCATTATGTTTAAGTGCACCATGACGAATTCTTTAATTTTTAGTTGAATCGGGTCATTTGAGCGACTAAGTTCACATTTTAAATTTGTGTGTTGTGAAAAGTTTACTGTAAGGTTATTCAATTATTGTGATCTTGTGTCTTAATTCAATAACTAAAGGTGCTTTAAAGCCAATAAAAATGCCATTAACACCAGCACAAGTTGCACAAGCAGTAGCATTAATTGACCAAGGGCTGACACAGCGTGAAGTTGCTATTGTGCTTAACGTACCACGGTCCTCAATGCAGTATTCACTGAAACGATACCAGGAGACAGGACGCTACACCCGCAGGCCAGGCAGTGGGGGCGTAAGGTGCACATCGGCCCGGGACGATCGTTTTATTGTTATGGAGATTTTGAGAAACCGCTACCTGACCGCTGTTGAGATACGCCAGCGGCTCCAAATCGCAAGAGACGTTAATGTTAGTGAGCGTACGGTGAGAAGACGAATGGAGGAAGTGAATTTAAAAGCTCGTAGACCAGCACGAGGTCCAGAACTTCTCAGACAGCACCGAGTAGCCCGACTTCAGTTCGCAAGAGAACATGTCAATTGGACCCACGAGCAATGGGCTAGAGTGTTGTTCACAGATGAGTGTCGAATAGCTTTACGTGCTCCAGACGGTCGAGAACGAGTGTGGAGAAAAAGAGGAGAGAGGTTTCTACCCATTACCACCACCCAAACTGTGAGTTTCCATGGAGGCTCAATAATGGTATGGGGAGGTGTAAGTTCCGACGCACGTACAGAGTTGGTCATCGTCGATAATCGGCTTACAGCTACTCGATACATCGAGGAAGTTCTTCAGGAGCACGTAATTCCTTATTCGGGATTCATTGGACACGACCAATTCCTCCTCATGCACGATAATGCACGCCCGCACGTCGCACATTGTGTAGAGGAATATCTGGAAGAGGTTGGAATACAAAAATTACAGTGGCCAGCTCGTAGCCCGGACTTAAATCCAATTGAGCATGTATGGGGTATGTTCAAAAGAAAGATAAAGTCCAGCTCCAAACCGCCACAAACTCTAAATGAGCTCCGAAATGCAGCGCTGGCCGCTTGGGGCAGCATACCGCAAGTTGATGTCAGAAACATCATTCAAAGCATGCCAGATCGAATGCAAGCGGTTATCAGGGCTAGGGGAGGAAACACCCGATATTAAAACTGATAGACAATAAGGAAACAGACTTAATTTTTAACTTTGTAGTGTTTTTAAAGTGACAATGGAAAGATGTTAATTTTAGTGAAAACATGTTATCTTGAAAAGAAAATTTTCGGTGAAGTAAACATTAAATTTCTACGTTCTAAAACCATTAGAGACACTTATTGAATGCATCTACCCTTAATTTACTGTTAAAAAAACGTTTCAGTGCAAATAATCAGCAAATTCACGAGTGGCCAAGTTTCCGTGCCGGTGAGTGTAGTAGAAAAGAGCATTGATCGTCAAAATTGAGCACAAAAGTAAACGACAAAAACAAAAAAAAACCTACGTCATACTATTATACTATCATAATGACCATCGGCTGTGCTACAAATTCTGTAATATTTTATAATTGAAAATCGAATGATGTCCAATGTATTTTCAAAATATGTTTGCCTATACCAACAAATTTACACTTAAATTCAATTGAGGACAGTGACAACTCTTCTTCGTTTTGCTCTTATCCCATGTTATTTGGGTTCCGCATAAACTCGTAAGATTTTCATTCTTCTCTATCAGCGGTCATATCATCACTCACTCCTTTCTTACAGATATTATCATCACTTACACAGTTCATCTATCTTTCCTAAGGCCGCCCTCTACTCTTACATCCATCCACTATCATATCCAACGTTCTTCCTGTTAGGTGAATCTCTTCGCTCCGCGTAATATGACCATAACAAGCTAACCTATCACTACTAAACTTTTACGTGACTGGTGCCACTTTCAAGAGCTGCTATTTGATGATTAAAAATTTGTTTATTTTTCATCACCCCGCGCATCTACCTTTCATTCATCATACTGTCGTATTTCAGCCAGATGTATACTTTGTTTATCCATCTCTTTTCGTAGCCCAACTCTGGGGTCCATACACTATAACAGTTCTTATGATCGTCTCTTAGATTTTAACCGTTTATTTTACGGAACTTAACATAACTATTAGTTCGCTGAAGCTAATAGATTATAAATATATAGCTTCAATAACAGATTTTTAGATATAAGGTATTATATAAATGATAGATTCACATAGTGGTTTAAACTTTTGGTACGAAAAGAAAAATTTTGATTTTAATCTGATTGTGACAGCACATTTACTATATAATATGGACTTTTGAATTTATTTGTGTTTACATAAAATTTTCAGATATTCTTTTGTCACGATTATTGTTTATTCAGAGCATAATTTTATATTTGACGACTCGGAGGCGCAGTGCTTTTTAACTTTTTAAACGTCTTCACAAACTTTGAAATGGATTAATTAAAACATTTATTGTTATTTACATTTATGTACCTATTGTGTTTTCTGAAATTCGCCTCGCTTTAGTAGGTACTAATTCGTTTGACAATTGCGAGGTAACGTTTTCATATCTACACATATTGTTTGTTGTATACAACAGCTACAAGAGGACCAGAATTTGGGTGCGGCGCTGCGGGCCGTTAGACCCGAACAAAATATTTGACAAATTAAAAAAAGTTGTAATTGTATTGGGTTTTCATTCATGTGCAATGTATTATTTATCTAAAACGCCTTCACAATACAGAAGAAATTCCTAGTATAGAAGAGTAGTTTATTTTTCATTTAAAAAGTTTTTATTAATAAATATTAAGATTGCAATTAATTGTTTTCGTCTATCGTCTACTATAAACCCATAAAGTAATTTTGGACACAATCAATCTGCTAATGTAAACAATTCCGTTAGATTGATCTTAATGTGGCAGTGACACCACTCTACATCCTGCACGCCGCACATCACTATGTTTAATGATCACTAAATCCTGGTTTACGCGGGCATAATGTTTGAAGTTTAAACAAAAAATTTGTAAATAAATTTTCAATGGAATTAAATCTTCTTTTGTTTCTTGCGTCTCTTGGATATATCCACTATCCATATACTTGGATCTCAGATGAATCAACTGTTAAACTTTCGTTATCGATTTGTATAGCCTAGAAGCTTGATTCTTGGCAAAGGTCGGTTGTTCAAGATTAATACGACGCTAGAATCTTCAAAACCAATCCGGCTGTCGTTGTAGACTAAACTTTACTAACACAATTAAACATATTCTCAATTTTTGGAACGAAGTTCCTTATCGAACGGTACGAATTCAGCGGATTTTGGGCTAGGCGAGAAAAAGTGTAAGATTTTTCCGTCACGACCCCTTCAAATGTAGCGTAGACGGCCTTGACAGCTATAAGGAAGCGAGATCCATCTCCCTCGCATTTTTTCTTATCTTGCCATGAAAGAAATATTTCATTTTAATGACGCTTCATTTTAATAGACGCTAGTAATTCATTTATTTTTATTTGTTAATCAATAATATAATACGTTTATCTATAATAATATACTACGAAAGGAACTTCGTTCCGACAGAGTGTTCCACGACACTCACGCATGTTTTTTTATAGGATAAGGGTGACAAACGAGTACACAGTCCACCTGATGGTAAGTGGTTGCTGTGGCCCATACACATCTACGAGTACATCTATCCTCGATTACCAATCAAAATGCAGATGCATTGTTACCCGTGAGTAAAAAGGGTCTCCGGTTCTCTACACTCACCATACGAAACACAGCAGCGTTGAGCTGCTATTTTACGCTGGTATCTATCAACTATTATTTATTCTGTGCTGGTATTCTGTGACAGCGTGGTCTTTCCCCGGTCAAGCCGACCCATTTGTGCGACATCTATACCAGTAATATAGCTACAGCATGGCTCTACCACATAAAAATGTGAACACTTTTTATATTAAAAAAAATGTAAATTTATTTATTCTTATATTACTTATACCAATCTCAACAATATATAAACGCGTGTTCTCTTGTATTCAAATGCAAATCTTGGGTCAACGTACAAATGTAAACAAATATTAGGTCCTTACATATGAAATTAGCGTTTTGTCGTACTGACCCACTTTGATCTGAAATATCTCCTCTTTGGTTAAGAATTCCAAATTCAAATTTATAAATTCATTTAGCTGGTACATTTGAGTTTTGAAAACACTCATTCATTTGTTTTTTCCTCATTATTTTTTTTTTATTTGGCGTCACTTATTACCGCACAATGGAAAACATGAAATATCGGTATATTTACGAGTACGAGTTCTACCGTGGCACCAGTGCTGAAGAAACAGCTCGAAGGATTAATGATGTATACGGCACTGGTGTCGCAAAAGAAAGCACGGTACGTTTTTGGTTTCAACGTGTTCGTTCTCTCTAGGCCACTGCTGCTTCACGATAACGCAAGACCATACACTATACAACAAACAACCACTAAGTTAGATGAGCTACGACATCCACCGTACTCCCCGGACCTTGCTCCAACAGATTACCATTTTTTCCGGAATTTGGATAATTTCTTACAAGGAAAAAAATGCAACTACGATGCGGCAGTCCAAATCGCCTTCAAAGAGTTTATTGATTCTCGCCCCCATGGTTTTTTTAATAAAGGGATCATTGAACTACCGATGAGGTGGCAAAAGTGCATAGATAACAACGACGCATACTTTGATTAATTAAATATATTTTACAAAAAAAAATTACTTTATATTCCTCCTGTACAAAACGCCAATTTCATATGTTCCTTACATAATTCCTTACAAAATAATATTTGTAGTTCTAACATAATTTGACTCCATTGGTATACCAACTAGGTATACCTAGAATAGTGCCTTACTTAAGGGATCTTAAAATAGAATATAGTCTAATAGCAGAGATAATTCGACGGCTCCGTGGCGCAGTGGCTCAGCTATGAGTTGTTACGCTGGGGGCCCCGGGTTTGAATCCCGCACGGAACAAGTATTTGTATGGCCTACAAATAATTGTTCCGTGTCTGGATCTTTGTCCTGTTGCAATTTATGTTTGTAAACTACCTCCACGGTAAAGGAGAAAATCCTAGTGTGGTGGTAACGTTTTTTTTTTTAAGAAAAAAAAATAAAATAACGGCATTACTTACGACGGCACCGAGGTTAGATAAAGGAGAAGGCGGCGGTATTCCGCAGCAGTAAGGAGATGAAAGTTGTTATTGTCGGGGAAGGTGATAAGCGGGCGGTGGTCCTTCGCGAGTCCCCCAGTGGCCAGCGCGTACTGCGGCAGCAGTAGCTCCCCCACACTGCGACCGTCGTCACCCTCGCTGCCGCATCCATCGCACTCGGCTTCTGTAACACGTTAATAATGCGTTATTACTTTCACGCTTCAGTACAACCAGTGTAAAGTAAGACTCTCTCTTTAAACTGTGGTAAAACCAATTAATTTTTAAGTAAACTAAAAAGTTACACATACAAGGCATTATTTCATAAATTTATTTTTCTTTTCTTAAATTGTAATCTTTACAATTTGCTTACTAAAGTATATTTAAAAGGTATATTTGAATTCTAGTATCGCTAATAAATATGCTAACTTATACTTTCTGTAATATCTCGTACTTTGCGATACAATTAACACAATTTTGTTTTATATTTAATTAATGTAGTCGTTCTTAAGAATTAAATTTTATATTCATAATTATACCTAAGTACTTTATCAAAATCGAAGCTCTTAAATTATTTTCGTATGAGGAATGTAAAAATATATTTGATTATTATAAATTTCGACAGTAAGACTAAAGAATAAATAATGATGATGGTGAATGAGTGAAGCTCTACCTGTAAGTTAGTGTTGTACAGAAACTTGCTTTAAAAGAAGGCGTTGACCGAGTCAGTAAACAAACCTATACATTTTGCCTACCCTATTCGTTTAACGAGCACATTGTTTATACTGTATCCATTAGTTTCTTTTTAGATTAAGCACTAACGGATAGCTAACTATTCGTTAGTTTCTGTTATTTATGGCATTGGTAACAATTCGTTGATTTTTGTAATTTAATGTACTGACGAATTTATCAATGTTTGAGAAAACTAATTTACGGACGGCGTCAGTAGATGCGCTAACGACTTCTCACCTAAACACTATGCACGAGATAAAAAGAACAATAGAAATATGAATAATACGAAGGTAGCTTTATAATATAAATAATGGTGGAGGCTTATAATAAATACAGGAGCTTAAGGCTTTATAATAAACCATTGAAGAAATTAGTAGAAATAGGCCTATAACATAATGGCATTATACACTCCTCCAAGCAACACACAAGAGTTATGAAAACTCAGTATACCTACCAGCCCACATAGAACTTAGAGGTTTTTAAAGCGTGTAAGAGTGTCGAATAGAGGTTATATTCTTATAAGAGTGGTTTATGAGTTATTATTATTATACAGCTGAAGCTGCATAAAGTCTGTATTATGGCATCTAAGTAAGCTTAGGATTCTTAATCAGAATATGAAAACTCTAGTATCAAACTTTAAGTATTTTATAACACTTCAAACTGATTTTATCATTAAAGCTGTATAGAAGCTGTTTCTTGCATGCTGCCACTTTCTTATACAGCTCTAAAAGTTATTATAGTATCACTCAAATCTTATTTCTGAACAATGGTGTATGCAAACTCCCTTCCAAAACTTATTTTTATGGCGGAATTGTACACTCTTGTAAATACAGTAGTTTTATGACTTCTGTCTTCTTCTGGGTGATATAAAACTAAAAAAAAAATAATAGTAGTACAATTTAATATAATCTACTTATACAAATAAATAAAATTGAAGTGTCTGTTTGTAATGTGAAAATTACAGCTTTTTACTAATTGCATATGAAAGTATATACGGTACTTATAACAAAAACACAATTTTTAAAATTTTTGTCTGTCTGTCTGTCTGTCTGTTTGTTCCGGCTAATCTCTGAAACGACTGGACCGATTTTGACGGGACTTTCAATGGCAGGTAGCTGATTTCATAAGGAGTAACTTAGGCTACTTTTATTTTAGAAAAAGAATTAGGGTTCCGCGCAAAAAAAACCCTAACACGCGAGCGAAGTCGCGGGGAACAGCTAGTTTAAATATAATTTAAATCTGCGGGCACGGCAGTGCCCCCGCCAAGTCGAGCAAAAAAGCGTCACGGCCATACCATCCTTTTTTCGAAGCAGTTCAGGCCATTTTCGACCCCCTGTGTCGTTGTGGATAAAACTAGAAACCTGAATTATCAGTAACCAAGCATGCATTGTATAAACACGGTATATTTCAAATTTCATTCAATTTGAACCAGTAGTTTAAGAATTATAACTAGTCAAAGTTTCTTAATTTTGTCACTCACTGACTGACCGATCATCAAAACTCTAAGGCACTTCTAGCAGACGTAGAAGCTTCAAATTTAGAATACAATTAGTGTTTAGTGTATAAATCAAATTCGCTGAAGGTCATACAGGTTTACGCACCAACCTCGGCACACCCCGATGAGGAGGTGGAGGAAATGTATGAGGATATCTCTAGAGCCATGCATTCCTCCAAAACCCAATATACGGTGTTAATGGGAGACTTCAATGCAAAACTAGGCACAAGAGAGAACGGTGAGCTGAAAGTAGGGAAATTTGGAATAGGGCAACGGAACCCAAGGGGCCAGCAGCTGGCCGACTTCATGGAGAAAGAGGGACTCTTTATGATGAACTCTTTCTTCCAGAAGCGGCCCCACAGGAAGTGGACCTGGTCGAGCCCCGACGGTTCCACAAAAAATGAGATTGACTTCATTATGACGACCAGACGACAACTGTTCAGTGATGTCTCCGTGATCGCGAGGGTGAAAACTGGTAGCGATCACCGAATGGTTAGAGGCACACTGAACCTAAACGTTAAGTTGGAGAGGTCTCGTCTAATGAAGTCAACGCTCCGTCCCCCTCGTGCTCTGTTCCAAAGTCCCGAAACCTTTCAGCTCGAGTTACAAAACCGTTTTCAGTGCCTGGAAGACTGCAATGAAGTGGACGATATGAATGACAAGCTCGTGGAAACTGTCCATGCGGTTGGAGCTAAGTTCTGCAAGACCCGCCGCAGAAGAACACAAAAACTCTCCGATCACACTCTTAATCTCATGGCTGTTAGACGGGAGATGAAGCTACATTCTTCAACAGACTTGACAGCATACAGGCATCTGAACAGACAGATCTCCAAATGCATGCGGCGGGACTTACGCAACTTCAATACAGCTCGTATTGAAGAAGCGATCGAGCGGAACCAAGGCTCCAAAGTCTTTGCCAGAGATCTGTCTGCCAGAAAGAGCCAACTGTCAAAGCTGAAGACAGAATGTGGCAGCATCGTTTCCGGGACACCTGAGATTTTGAGTGAGATTGAGAGGTTCTATGGGCAGCTGTACACATCATCGTTGGAGCCACACGCAAGTGTGAGTAACGATCCAAGAGCGAGTCTCATCCGACACTATTCCGAAGATATCCCGGATGTCAGTCTGAGCGAGATTAGGATGGCTCTCCAGCACCTTAAAAACGGTAAGGCCCCAGGCGAGGATGGAATTACAGCGGAGCTTCTGAAAGCGGGTGGAAGACCGGTACTTGAAGTCCTTCAGAAGCTCTTTAATTCCGTCCTCCATGGTGGCATTACACCGGAGGCGTGGAGCAGAAGTGCGGTGGTCTTGTTCTTCAAGAAAGGTGACAACGCTCTCTTGAAGAACTACAGACCGATTTCCCTTCTGAGCCGCGTCTACGTGCTGTTTTCGAGAGTCATTACGAATCGTCTCGCGCGCAGACTTGACGACTTCCAGCCTCCCGAACAAGCCGGTTTCCGAAAGGGCTTTAGCACCATAGACCACATACATACCCTTCGGCAAGTTGTACAGAAGTCCGAAGAGTACAATTTGCCACTATGTCTGGCGTATGTGGACTATGAGAAAGCCTTTGATTCCGTCGAAATTTGGGCGGTGCTGCAGTCCCTTCAGCGGTGCCAAGTTGACTGTCGGTATATCGAAGTGTTGAAGTGCTTGTACAGTAGGGCTACGATGGCTATCCGAGTACAGAACCAGAGTACGAAACCTATCCAATTGCAGAGAGGTGTAAGACAGGGTGACGTCATATCCCCGAAACTCTTCACCGCTGCATTGGAAGACGTTTTCAAGCTTCTGGACTGGAAAGGATACGGTATCAACATCAATGGCGAGTACATCACTCACCTTCGATTTGCCGACGATATAGTCCTTATGGCAGAATCGCTGGAGGACCTAAGCACTATGCTCAATGACCTCAATAGTGTTTCCCAACGGATAGGTCTTAAGATGAACATGGACAAAACTAAGATCATGTTTAATGTCCATGTCACACCTATGCCGGTAGTTGTTGGGAACACTAAGCTCGAAGTTGTTGACGAGTATGTTTACCTGGGACAAATAGTCCGACTGGGTAAGTCCAACTTCGACCGAGAGGTCAATCGACGGATTCAACTCGGCTGGGCAGCGTTCGGGAAGCTACGACACATCTTCTCGTCAGACATACCTCAAAACCTTAAAACGAAATTGTACAACCAGTGCGTGTTGCCAGTGATGACTTACGGAACTGAGACGTGGTCCTTCACTGCTGGCCGTATGAGGAAGCTCAAGGTCGCTCAACGAGCTATGGAGAGGGCTATGCTCGGAGTTTCTCTGCGTGATAAACTTAGGAATGAGGATATCCGCAGTAGAACCAGAGTGACCGACATAGCCCAACGGATTAGTAAGCTGAAGTGGCAGTGGGCCGGCCATATAGCTCGAAGAACCGACAACCGATGGGGAAGAAAGGTTCTCGAGTGGCAGCCTCGTACCGGTAGGCGAAGTGTAGGGCGTCCCCCCACGAGATGGAGTGACGACCTGGTAAGACATGCAGGAAGTCGATGGATGCAGGTGGCTCAGGACCGTGTTTTGTGGCATTCTTTGGGGGAGGCCTATGTTCAGCAGTGGACTTGTGAAGGGCTGTAATGATGATGATGATGTATAAATCAAGGAAAAATTAAAATATTTTGTAATTTCGGTCCAGTTTTCTAGATACACCAATTGCATAAATAACTTTGTAATCCTATATAAATATATAGGATTACTAAGTATATATATATATTTCTATAGGATTACAAAGTTACATTTGCAGTGAATGAATCAATGTACCTGTATATATGTATAATATAATGGAATAATAGATGTAGATAAGTACATAGATATAATTATGTTCAAAAGTAACCTGTAAAATGGTCAAGGGAAAGAAAAAGCAAGAATGAGACATGTCTTATGTAGTTCTAACAAAATCCCCCAAAGTAAGTAGACTA